CCAAGGGAATATCTGTATGTCATGGTACAATAACAGGGTCCCTGAGGGATCAGCAGATGGCAATGGAGAGAGGAGAGCAATTCACAGACTCCCAGCTTCTTCATAGCACTTGGTCACCTCTAGGGCATATAGCTCTGGGACAGACAGTCCATCACACACGCACTTCCATGCACAGTCACAGAGTGGTATTTCATTAAATACTGTTTTTCTGTATTAAAGCCCATTTCACAACACTGCATCCTCCTTTCTGTCTTGCCTTACCCTGGTACCCACAAGCCACGGCTGACTGCCTGACACAGCGTCAGGTGAGGATCAGGAGAAGTGCTCACCTTGGTTGGCTTCCTGTTGCACTTTTCTGTACAAGCTCAGGTTACTTCTCTGAACCATCTTCCACTCATATTCCTGCTGGAAAATTCAGATGGGAGGCCTGGGAGGTTGGGATTGCCTTGGAGCTCCTTTGTACAGTGCCTGGTGCAGTACTTGCTCAAAACATTCAAGTTTTTTTCTACTCAAGGTGCCTTCAACTGTGTATTTACCTGCTCGTAAGAATTTTTTGGAGCAGCTGGCAGATATTTCATTTTCCAAGACAGAAAACATATTCTTGAAGGTTTGGTGACATGGTGTGCATCAGGATATATTTCCATTTGTATACATAAGGATACATTTCCGTATGTATATAAATATGTTTGTGTATGCATGCATAGATGTAGAGGGAGATAACTGATGGACAGACAGTTCATGAGAGAGTCACAATTCATTTCTCTGTGTAGATACATGTACACAGATACAACATTCTCAAGCTCCCTAAGACAGACTGCAGTTTCTAAATGTTAAAATGTATCAATATGTAGGACAGTTAACTAGTACAAAGCAGTAATCTTCTCTTTCATTTGCCATTTTTCTTCTGAGGTATTTTTTCTTATTGTTTGCACACCACTGCCTTTGTACTTCGATTACAGCTATGCATGTAATAATAAAAATGACAATAAACCCGAGCCCATTTCTTGTATGGGATGACAATTGCAGGGTGTGTATTTCTGGCACATTGCAAAACATTGGAAATCCCTGGCCAGGTGTCATCAAGTGGAACGGAAAATATTTACCCAAGAGGTGTACTCTTAAACCAGCTGACTAAATGTCTGTTTTCCTCAACTGCTCTTTCTGCTGGAAGTTTTCCCAGGACCTGTTTTCTGTTTTCTGACCTGATGGGGAAGTGACCAACTTCACAGTGTGGCAATAATCAAAGTCAGGAGGCTGTAGTTAACCATTCATGAACAACTGAGGACTGAAACCTGTCTGCAGAGCTAGCAGGGCAAATTATCTGCAAATACTAACTTTCCAGCCATGATGGCCATATTCCAGTCCAGACAAAAGAAAACAGGACCCGTAGTTCTATGGAACCAGAAGCATTTGCATGGTCTTCTCTTCCTGTGACCACTAACACCAAGGTTTCCTGTTAGGTTTTCATTCTTAGTCTCATTTTAGATAATTCAGTGGCCTTCCGAAAAGGCCATTTACTGCCCCATTATTCCCCCAACCATAAAAAGTGACAAAAACAAGTACAACTGGGGGTGGTAACCAAGTATATGAGGAGAAGGTGTAAGAAGAAGGAACCTACAACTCTTTTCATCCTATTCAATCCCTTCTCCACCCTCTGTGCCTGACCAGTCTGTACATAAATACATTTGCTTTTGCTGTTAACCAGCTCTTTTTATGTCCAGCACATCTGGATAGTTATTTCCAAGGCAGTCATATTCCTGAACAGGAATAATCATCAGCCAAATTACCATCTAGAGACTGTATTTTCATTGAACTTCTACTTACTACCAATAATTACATGCAGAAACTTTCTGCTGGACTTCTCCCTCCTGAAAAAACAGAGTATTCAGTGGACACAGGCTAAGGAGTTTTCAGGTTTGGCAGGTTCAGGTTTGTAACACGTGCACACATATTACAAACAAAATATGGGAGATGAATGTGCCTCTCTGTGCACATTGATGCTGTTTCCAAAGAAATCTCCTGTTTGAGGCTTTCTTCTTTTGCCCACTAAATTCCCTCAGATAACAGTGGTTACACCTACAGGTCAGTCTGAGTTGACTTATACTGAAGACGAAAGGTCAGCCTTTGCATTATTGATATGGACACTTTGCTGCCTCCTACCGCTTTTTTCACCTGTGTATCTGCTTGATGCTCCAGTGCTCCAGTTATGTGTGCAGCTGGAGATCCAGCAGTGGCCAGGGGTGAGCTCCTGCTGAGCCAGGTGCAGGTTTGTGGTTTGGCTGTGAGAGCACCTCGGAGCTGGTCATCACAGGGTAACAGTCATAAAGACAGGTCCACGAGGAAGGAAGGTCCTTTCCTGCAGGCAGGGTTTTCAGGTACTGGAAGCCTCTATTTCATCTTGCAGAGAGGGGATTGTGATGTTTTCTAGAACTTGTCCAGCAGAACAATAACCTCTAAGAAAGGATTTCCTTTTTGTTTGCTGTGAAAAATAGAATTGATCTGCATCCTAATCCAGCTGTCGACAAGAAACTGACAGTTATACTTCTTATCAGAAAACTCAGATGTTTTTCCCTTTATAGTTCAAGCACCTTTATACCAGGTTTAAGCCCTCAAAGCATTAAAAAAAGTACTCACCCCACTTCCTTTGTTTTCAATATCTCTTTATCAAGCAATTTATCTTGTAGCATTTTAAAGAGAATTAATAAAAAAGGCAGCAAGGTTGCCTCACGCTTGCAAAGCTTTCGGTACAAGTATGTAGGTTAAATGGGACTTTTTATGAAGATTTATACATAGCAACTTAATACCTTTACATTTATTTCCTCGCACTTACTTCCAGCAGTTCTGTTGCTTTTCTACTACTGAAGAGCCTTGATATCAAAAATCCTCCTCCTCCCTTTAGATTTCTACTAATGACCACCAGCAATGGGATTTTGCAAGTTAAACAGTAACATAAAAATTTCTGTCAAATCCATGTGATGTACTTCTGTGCTTTTACTACAGCTCAAAGGCAAAAATTTCCACTGTGTTTAATGTACTGCTTTGGCTAACTGTGTTATGATTCATGTAAAAAACCCACAAAATGAAACAAGGTATGGTTTAAAGCATATAAGCAGTAAACCAGTAACCTCCAGATCCTCAGGTGCCTCAAAGGTCCTTCCCTGCAGAGAGCCCAAAGCAACTAAGTAAGTGTAAAAGGCAGTGTGAGTTCTTTTTCCTGTGCAACAAATGAAAGAAAATAATGCTCATCAGAGAGCAACCATTTCCCTGAAGTCAATCTGAGTGACTAAACCATGTTTTTCAGGTTTTACAGGTTTCCCTTTAATGATCTCCTGATCCCCTTACTGCCTTAAGGAGCCTGACCCATTCTTACCCAGGTGTTTTTTCTTGCAAGCTGCATGGAAAAAAAGCTTCAATAAGTCTTTGTCACTAATAAAAAAAGTATTGACTGCTTACAGAAGCTCTTTTTGAAGTTTTCCTGGTAAATCACCTTGAATTGCAGCAGAGGTAAATGAAGGAGTGAAGATTATCTTCTTCTGACATTATTCTCACTGTGTCAGTTACTCATTGTTTGCTTTTGGACTTTTTGTCCCTGCAACATCCAAACACTCCTCCTGTATCTTGGACTTCAGCACTTCTGTTTTAAAATGGTCTTAAGTTATGTAGAAAATACGGAATCAGGCACACATGCACAACATTGAGAAGGATGGGGAATGTAAGTCAAGAAAAAATAATAGGAAAGAGACTGAAACCTGACAAAGAAATGTTTCCCTACCTCAGTGAACATCATAGTGGACTTTAGTCTCTGGTTTGTAACGCTGTGTATTCTAAACGGAAACTGAAGCTAGAAAAAGATGAAATATGCCAGAATCTCTTGCTACTTTGAGCTGGAAGTATAGTGTCACATCATCTGTAGCTGGACATGCCTTTTGCCTCCTCAGCTTATGCTGCTGCTAAAATAGATTTAGGTGACTCTACTCACCTTTTGCTTTGTTCTTAAGACATGTCATAAAGATGGATCGGTAGCACTGCTTAATTAACTATCAATACTGTTATACTTCACTGTAAATAACTCAGGTCAAATAGAAATAGTTTTTTGATATTCTTAATAAGAATTTCCTCTAATTTATTTAATACAGTCCCAAAGTCCTTTCAGAGTTGTGGTGAAAAAGCAGGAAGCATAAGGATTATGATAATGGCTCAATGCCTAAAATTTATTTGGTCTACAATTAATTTCAGATTCCTTTACCAATCATATTACTTTGTTAACCTTTAGTCCTTTACACAGATAGAGGAAGGAGCTCAGAATGCAGAATAAGGAAGGAAGAGGTAGAGGAAAACATCAGGTATATAATCAGAGCCTGATATACAGTTGAAATCAGCAGGAGTGGGATGCATATGAAGAAGGGAGCATAAACACTAAGAAAGAACATTAACAGGAAAAATGTGCAAGGCAGAAAAAAATAATCAGTTTATTATTCCATTTTTGAAGAACGAATTTAATCCAAAATTCTATACAAGTACAGTGTATGACCAGGCATACTTCTGCCAGTATGAATATACACACCTATCCCTGTGTATGTGAGCATGCATGTATGTATATAAATATGCACATATGTATGTATTTCCATAATTCCTTTGAAGCTCAGATTAAATGCAGGCCTTTGAACAATCAATAACAAGACAATTAGGGGCTGAGTGGCCATACATACATGTTTAAGAGTAAATCTGCCAAATTACAAAAATTATGGACTTAAATATCATAAGGACCAGAAATAAACAACAGCTGGAGTCTAATCCTGCATCATTCCATCAGAGGCAGCTTTGCCAGAGATGCTCTGAGTGCAGGACTGGCATCCAGCCACAGCCTAGAACACCCTTCCTTATGTTTTAAGTGGCAGAAAAAGGGGACAGAATAACTGTGAATCCTCCCCTCCACTGTCCCAAACATTTGTTCTTCTTCCTGCCCCTGAAATTCAATCCATATTTACCCACTTCTCACTGCAGTCTGGACTCTCAAATGAGGCTTACCTACATGCCTATGTACTACATTACCTTCAGCACTGTCCTCCAAACACCTTCTGTACTTGCCTGCTGGCCTGAAGGAGGTCCCTTTCCCCTCGACACCATTTCCAGCTGTTGCTGACACACTGTTACAGCTGCAGGTGTGGCTCTGAAGCCTGTAGCTGTTCCTCGAAGTAGAGCAGCTGATCCACTTCGAAGCAATCACTTGCTCTAGAAACCAGTTTCTCCAAACAGCTCCTGATCTGCTCCTCACTGGCATTCTGCTGTCTCGCTTCCTTGAGGCAGCTGTACACGGCCTCAAATGTCTCCACTCCCAGCTTCCCAATGGCAGATCTGGGGATAAATATTATAGAAAAAGTCAAGTAAAAGTTAATTCATGTTATATAGTAACACAAGCATTGGCTAGTGCAGATTTCTTCTAAATGTTGTAGGTTTGATTAAAATTATATCATGATGCACCTTGTTTACCTGACAGTGAAAGGAACTAAAGTTTTCTGGTGACTTTCTCCATGATTACTCGCTATACAAAGAGCCCAAGAGTAAAAACCTGGCCATAGCAAAATCATGGGAAGCATGGCTATCTTCATTGTTACAATCCAAGAATCCTCTTCATGCTGAGTCTGACAGATGATTTTATCTACAAGTCTGGTAAACACACATGTATTACTGCCTCTGGATTTCATCAAAACCAAAAGAAGCTACCCCAGTCAGCTGAACACCAGTGGCATTTTATGTGGGCACACTTTGTTATTAATTTCTTTATTTTAGCTTCTATCAAATACAGGAAAAACGTTGTACAAGCTCAGCATGAGCTAACTTGACACTTTTTTCTTTTCTACAGTGCTCCTTTTATCAGAACCCAGATATGTAACTCAGTGACAAAACACACACTCACAACATCTTAATATTGATTTATAAAAAAGACCCATTTGAAAACTGCAAGACAATGAACAGCCTTTCTTCCTCCTAAAGGCAAAACATATTTAAATTCATGTATCACAGGTAACATACAATTTGTCACTCAGTGATGGCTTCATATTTTGATGAAAATACCACGGTAATTTTCGTTCAGTGTATCAGAGACTATCTGCCTGCTCTTCATGCTTCTGACTTGGATTTTTTCACTGAGCCTTTACATGTTAGAGCAGTTAAGAGCTGGTTGTCTTTTAGACAAGAAGGGGATACTTGAAGGGAACCATGTCGTATGGTGCCAGCAGTAGGCTTCCCAGCCAGTGCTTGAGGCAGCAGGAGCTGGGACACCTTCAGCTTGTGGCTGTACAAAGGATGATCTATACACAGGCAGAGAAGGGGATCAGAGATGTCTCCTGGTGCCAGCATTAAGGCTTAGAACCTCAGTAAATGTGCACATGGGAGCAGGCACACTTCCCATAGCAGTTTAAATAGTTAAACCTAACTCCCAACAACAACTTCACAAACTGCAGCTGCAGTTTTTCCTGGTTTTGTACTGATTTTGCTACATGTCTAACACCAGGGCAAGGTCAACTCTTCTCACCCAATAGCATAATCAACCTAGTTACTTTTTATCAGTGGTCATCCTGTTACTGCTGAGGAAAAACATTCTCAGAGTGAAAAGTCAGCCAGTAAGAGTTCCATATTATATAAATTCCCCAATTCTTATGAAAACATTGCAAAGAATTCTACTTTATTGCTCCTCAAACTTCTCCCGTCCCACTTGCTCTTTGCCTTTCTAGCACCTCCATCATGCCCAGGTGTGATGCCCCTTTGACTTCAGGGCACCCCTCTGCTGGCTCCTGACACAGAGGCAGATCAGGAACCTGGGGCAGAGAAAGCCAAGACCCAGGATCAGAAGTCAAAGGGCCAAGCTGGAATCTCTACAGGTCTAGACCTAACTCAGTCCTGCTTCCTATAACTAGAAATTGCCTTTTTTTCTACCAAGAATGTTGTTTAGGAGAAAATAAAAACTGTTGGAAAGAATGAATTCTCCAATGCTAGAAGCCTAGAGATTGGATTACCACTGAAAGCTAAACAGAGATTTGACAATGTACATTTCTTCAGAAAACATTATCAAAAATATCACTATTTCTCTCCAATAGTTAAAAATCAATACATGAAAAGCTATCCTGAAATCACTGCTACTTCATCAGTGCCTCTAATGACTCCTCTCTCCCTCTTAGACAAGTAGGTTTAATTTTTGGCAGTCCTGTCTATTTCAAGATGAAAAATTAAGCAAACATATACCTTGGGAGTATTGCTTCTGCTAACAAATGTGACCTGCAGCCTTGAATCTTCTCTGTTCAGCTTGGCAGAGCACACAAACCAGCTAATCTGTATAATAGCTGATACAATACAATTAAGGGGAAAATGTTCATAGGTTGAAAATTACAGGGTAGGTAACAAAAATTATAACCTGCTTTTACAAAAGAAGACATCAGGCTCTGTTTGGCCTTGAGAGGCAGAAGTGTGGGATATCAGAGAGTAAATGCCAAAGAGGCGTCACCAAGTGAATCTATCATCCTGATGGAGGGAGGGGGGAAGGTGCTTCCTGGAAAGTGAGGTTTGTCCATTATGGCCCTGATCCTGTGCTAAGGGATATTTGTCCACCCATGTAAAATCCTGGAGAGGCACAATTACAGATTGCTACTTCACATGAAACATAGGATACCTGCACTAAATGTCTGGAAAAGAATCAAAGCCTTACCACCAAATGTGGTGTGAGAAGAAGTGCAGAACTCTCATTTACAGTCACATTTGGCCATCCATGTTTTCTGATTTACTGGCACTCTCTTCATGCTATCCTATAGCTTATCTGCTACAAACTCACTGTGAGTCATCATCTCTTTTTTAGCCAAGGCAACACGAACAAAGGGGATACCTGACATCTGGGATTTCACTACTGTGAAAAATTGTGGGCCAGACCTCCATCCCACACTGGCCAAAATTAGTTTTCAGTGTCTTAAAATCCAAGAAATTACATCAGGCTCTACCAATCAAGGGTCTGGCTTCAGGTGATACTCAGTAATGTGCTTAAATGTCATATCTCAGATTGGTTTTTTTCTTTCCTTGTTACAGTCTTAGATGGAGGGATCCATTGAGCTCAATCCCCTGCAGAGAGCAGTCCCAGTGCTTCAGGCAGAGGAGGCACAGGGCTGGGGACGTGCTGTGACCATCAACCCACTGGCTGCACAGCAGATATTGCCAGTCTGAGGACACTGTCACCCATGGAAGATGTGGCCTGAAAAAAATTTAGCCTCTTGTTGCCAGCTCTCATGCAGCACACAACACATGCCTGAGAAAATTAACTGCAACAAGACCCAAACACCATATTGATATTTGATTTGCGGATAATTATGGAACATGGACATAAAATAGAGACTTGGTTCTATCAAGGATAAGGCGCTTTTGAGTATGCAAGACGCAGTAAAGAACATCAGCAAAATCATAGGCACTCCTGGAGTTAGAGGGGAGCTAAATAGGAGCCTTGAGAACTGCAATTTTAAGACACAGCGTGTCTAAAACCATTCCAAGTCATTGGACCTAATGAATTTATCAGGCTATCTGGTGATTTGCAGTTGATTTTCTAAGCATCAGTGCAAAATTACTGAAATTTGACAATATAATAATGTTGTATTCTCAGCTGGCTGAGGAAGTTGTAAATCTTTCCTAAGTGAACAACGAATTCTCTATTATCCCACAGGTCTTTATTTTGACTATTCTGCTACCAGCTACTTATTAACGTCTCCTTTCTGGCTTAGAGATCAATTACAATACACCTACCTTTATGCCACACTGACAAAAGCCACAAAACAAGATTAATGCTGAAGTTTGTGCTCCTCCATGGGTGTTAGCAGCCAGGTTAATATCTCTCAACAACTTGTCATGACCTGCCTTGAAGGGTAGCTACTACACAAATCAGCAGCTAAGGGGTTTTTCAGCTTCTCACTTTCCAGTGTCATTTGGCACGATGGCAACTATCATCTAAAGCCATCCTGGTCTCACTGGGATCCCCTTCAGAGAGCTGTGTGTGGTCCGTGCAAGGACAGGCTCTGCACAAGCCTCTACTGAACACACTAGAGTAGTAACACCATGAAAGTCCCTCCAGATCAGGAACCAGCAATACCATCTCACCCCTGCCATAACAGGCAACAAACACACTGCTCCTAAGAAGAACAGAAAATTCAGTTATTTAAAAATACCAGTTACTCATGCCCACATCAATGCAAACCCTAACAAAGAAACTTTCTGGACATGGAATACCCATTCCACTGGGCATTTATTTATCCTTTTGAATGCAGCCAGGCCACCTGCATCCACCACCAAAAGAGCACATTGTAAAGCAGAGCACAAATCTGTGTTGATTTTGGCTCATGGAGCATAAAAGCATGCACAGGGATCTTTGAAAGAATAATTTCAGTAGAGGTCTCTAAATTCTGTTCTTCCTAACTCAAGGAGCTAACCCCATGGAGTCCAGCAGTATTCTTTAGGATTCTCATCAATACATCCAACAATGATTTGTCCCTGAATTAATGGTATTTCCAAGCATCAATTTATTAACCTCATATTTCTCTTTAAAACAGTACAATCATGCCACTTTGCAGCTAACCAGTACTGATATGAATCTCAGTGAAAAAGATTGTTACATTTATCTCCTGAGATGACTTTGCAAAAGAATCAGGAAATTACATATCCTTAGTCTCATACAAAATATTGTTTTCTAACTGTACCAGAAAATCTTAAGATATCTGCTACAGCATCTCATGGTTCAGTAAACAAACAGGTTTATCTCAGTCAGAACACAAAAGATCTCTGTCCTCTCAAGTTATCTTTCTGTCATTCTGTTTGCTGGCATTACTGACTATGAATGATTAAAACTTTGACACTTGAAAGAAATGGCTCTGGGTTCAAATCTTCATTTCCAACATAACTTCTCTGTTGCTGTTTAAAGACCCCTTGAGATCTGCTAGGAGAAGGACATAATAAGTTCCATGATTCAGGTTTTAGGAACTTATATCTAAAGGTAGGGCAAAACTTTTCTAGTTCTGACAGCTGTTCAGTCTTGGGAATGTGAAAAAAATGGCTAAGTAAGAAAAGAGCTCATTAAAAAAAAATAGAAAAGATAATGGAAAGTATTATGATATAAAAGCTAGTAAGAAAAGGCATACGAATTACTAATATTAGACTCCATTTTCACCTTCAAGCCTCAATGGACTTCGACTATCCTCATATTACTGCTGAATGAAAATTTCTTCACTTGAAAACACAAGGATAATTTTCCTAATTCATCCTTAATTACTTCATAATTCCTGAATTAAAGCACCATAATTTGATTGCAAACAAAACTCTCTGATGTCTTA